GAAGGAAAGTAGGCAAGGAAAGAGTATTAGATTACTGTGAAATTCAAGAAAATCCAGTAGGCCAATGGGGAGTCACTCTGTCACCAGTGATCTGCATCTCCCTGCCTAGGCATCCCTGCCACTCCCAGTCATTGGCTGGGAGCAACCCATGGGAGGCATGGACTTAATGTGGATGTGAAGATTAGTTTCAGAGTACAGCAACTGAAGCCATCAGTCAGTCATGCTTTCTGCAGTTGAAGGTCCATCAGTGGACATGCTCAAGATTATCATTACTACAATTTGGGGTCATAGGAAAGTAGTTATACCAATGGAAACAAAATCTAAAAGGAATGCCTGGTCCAAAAGCTGGTAGGCTCTCTACAAGTAAAAGATGGAGAAGAAAAATTGAAAAATAATTTATTTCGGGTCCCTGATGCTCAGTGTCATAATGCATCATTGTAAAGTTATCCCAAACATTATTAGAATTCATATATTTAATTAGATCAACTATAGGAAAAAATTAAATGAATATTAATATTAAAGTGACATTTGCAGATGTAAAAAGACCTAATTATTTACTAGGGACATATTCTATAGAGTATTTGTATTAGATAGTCTAGTTGTATCAAGCTTGATTCACTTAATTCATCATTGAAATTATTACCAGAATTCAGTTCTTCCTGTTATAGATTCCTGGATCAATGCTCTCAAGTATTTGTTTCATCATATAATTATTTTCACTTAAACAATAATCAAACATTAATACTAATACAGGTTCGAGTGGGTTAAATTAAAATGAGAATTTATAAAGAAAACACCATTCCAAAAACAAAGAATAAAATATTCAGCAGAGCAAATTAAAATGAAATAAATACACACATCTGTGTTTCCAAATAGCAACAATGGCTGCACATCAATTTGAGTCATATAAGTAACCAAACGAGGGAGAAGTACGAAAGTTCACAGAGTTTTATTCTAAATTCCTGAAGTTGACTATGAAAGTAAAATTTCTCTATGTTTAAAATTTTTATAAATTATATGACTTGCAGTTGCATAAAATTCTGAATGAATGTTCTACCCAGGACAAAACAGATCCCTGAGCAACATATTTGCACAAAGCCCCTGAAAGTCACAGATATCAATCACAAAAGAAAACATTTATCCATGGCACACTGAGTAAAGATTTCAGTGTTGTATTCTGGAAGCTCAAGACTATAAACCACTCTTACTCTACAAAGCTCTACACACAGTTTTGTGTGGGAATTCTTGGGTTTCAACTTGGCATCTATCATCTAATGTGTGAAATAGATTCAGACATTTGCAAAAAGTTATATAAATTACTGTATTTACAAAAATGGCACAAAAGTGAATTCAGCAGTCTATGCATGTACATACTTCATTCACATCTTCAACAACAACAAAAAAAACCCAAAAAAGATATTCTAACACTATGAAAGTGAAAAACACGAGATACAATGGGCTGCTCTTAAGTAAGGTCACATACAGTTACACCAGAATGTGCAAATACTGCCCAAGAAAAATTCTATTTTTAAAAATGAAACAAGTTGAAGGCAAATCAGGTTCAACTGTAGAGATACAGATCTGTCATATCTGTTTGAAATATGTGATGTCTTCTAATTTGGGGTCTTAAACTTCTATTTTACAAAATCCAAAAAGAAAAAGACAGGAAAATAACACAATAGAGATTATACAAAATAAGAAAAATATTAGAAGTTTACAATTGAGTGAGGAAACCCAAAACATTGAAATCATAAAATTTACTTATTACTTGTTAGATCTTGTCCTATACTAGAAAATAGGAAATATGTATATTTATTTTCAGTAAATTACTTTATGCTGCTCTAATGTATCTTTTTCATTGGTGCATTGTTTAATCCAAAAATTATACACATTCAGATAGTAAAACTGTATCCCTTAAGAAACAGCACATACCACTGCTACCTGCAAAGCTATCCCAATGACATAGTGTATGGAAGAAAATAAATAGCTGAGAAATAATATATTAAAGAAATAATACAAATGAGAACATTCAAAATTGAGCTCTTTTACTCAGCCAGTTTGCTAGCCATAAGGAATGGTCCTGTCCAGTGGGAATATGATCCCTAGTCACCTCTGTCTTACCAGAGGCTACAATAGATACTGCTTCATCTTCATGGGGGAGGGGCAAGATAGAAATAGAGTAAGTGATATGAACTACTATGCATAAAATAAATAAGATACAAGGATATATTGTACAACACAGGGAATATAGCCAGTATATTATAATAGCTATCAATGGAGTATAACCTTTAAAAATTGTAAATCACCATGTTGTACACGTGAAACTTATATAATATTGTACATCAGCTATACCTCAGTAAAAAAATGCTTGATCTTCATTTTTGCTTTATCCATGTTGTAATCTCCAGGATTTTTTAAATCATCTTTTTGTAACTAGTTCCTCAAGAAATCTGCCCCCCAAACTTGGATCTCAAATGAGGGTAACTTGCTTTCAACTTTGCTTCTTCAGCTTTCTCTAGACTAGGCACTTTGACTTGGCTAGTCACTAGTGACTAAAATTTTTAATTGGGCCAAGTGCCTTAATCATCTCATTTAAATATCCTGTATCATTGCTAATATTTTGCCTGCTTCTATCAGTTATAAAAGTATGTTAAAATCTTCCAGTATGATTGCAGATTTGTCTGTTTTTCCTTGAAGTTCTGTGAGTATTGCTTTTTAAAATTTGAGGTCTTGTTGGTAAGTGTATACAAATTTAGAATTGTATCTTTCTGTCAAATTAACATTTTCTTTTGGTTTGTGTTTGAGTGGTTTTTAGAAAATCATTTTTTCTGAATCTTTATATTTTAGGAATCTCTCTCATCAGAGTTTTGTTTTTTAAGCAACCTGATAATCTTTGTCTTTTAATTAAAGCATTTAGTCTGTTTTCATTTACTGCAATTACTGGCTTAAATCTAACATCTTACTAGTGTCCTTCTACTTTTTTCCCACCTCTTCCATCTTCCTTTTTCTCTTCTTTCTTGCCTTCTTTTGGATTGATTTTTTTTATCATTCTATTATCTTGATAGTTTTACATTCTATTAACTTAGTAGTTATCCATTGATTGTATTACTACTATTTTAGGGGCCGTACTAGAGATTGTAATATGCATCTTTAACTTACTAAAATCTAACGTAAATTAGTACTTTTATTATTTCCAAAACAATGCTGCAACCTTAGAACCTTTTAACTTCACCTTTTCTCCCTGAAAATCATATAGTTTTTGTTTTATTTTGTTTTTGAAAAATCATGTTATTGTTATCATGTATTTTAATTATATATATTTGAACTCCATAAAACATTATTAGAATTGTTTTAGACAATATTAATTTAAATTTTCCCTCATATTTACCCTTTCTATTGCTTTTCACTTTTTCATCTCTGAGCTTCCATCTGGGGTTATTTTCTTTTCACCCAAAGAACATTCCATTCCTTCAAGTCCTCCAAACTTATCTGACAATTTTTATTATTGTTTGTATATGTTTATGTATTTATAAATATGTGTCTTATTGATATATATATATCTACAAGATTTTATTATTATTATATTGTTCATATGATCAGTGTTTACTTATTCACTCACATATTTGGCTTTTTTGTTGGTCTTCATTCCTTCCTGCATTTCTGGGCTTCTAAGTGGATAATTTTCCTGCTGTTCAAAGGATACTCTAATATTCCCTTTATTTTATGTCTACTGATAACACATTCTCTCAGGTTTTAGTTTCTAAAATTGACTGTATTTCATCTTCATTTTTACTGGGTATAGAAATCTAGATTGGCAGGAATTTTTTTAATTTATCAAGTTCTATAATTGCATCTGGCCTGACCTCCAATTAGCAAGAGAACTACACTTTTGGTTCTTAAAGAATAAAATTTTAGACATCATGAATATTTCATTATATTTGGGTGACTATAAATTCATTTTGTAAAGTTAGGAGTTGGAGTATATATAAATGTAGAATCTTCACTCAGGAAAAACCATACTCTTTGCCCACCATCCCCAGTTTAGAATAGATAAAATGAATATCAATATTTGAATTGAAGTTGAATAGAAGCAAGAAGTCACAAAATGCAGTCAGGGAAATGGGTTGAATTGTCAAGAGGCAGTTCCCAAAGCAAAACCTTGGATGTTTGCTGCAGCTTTCCAGGCCTTAAGGATGTTTTTTTTCTCTCCTTTTTACCTTCTTAAACACATTCATTCATTTCTTCTATCAACAAGTATATGCTAAGCTCTGCTTAGTGCTCAATACTGTAAATCCTGATAAATAACACACGGACTCAGCCTGCAAAGAGCTTCTAGTAGAGAAGATGACAGATACATAAATACCAGTAACAGATTGAGGTGTCATAAGAGATGCATAGACAAAAGTCTTCCCCAGTTCAGAGGTGTGAGAGATTACTTTGGGGGAAACAAAGAGGTTAGGGAGGAAAGAATCAGGAAAAATGCCTCCAGGAGGAAGCATTTGAGCTATACTCTTAAGAAGAGAAGGAATTGGTCATGCCTAGATGCTAACAAGTGGCAGGTGGTAAGCTTTGCTGGAAAGCGTTGTCCAGGAAGGAATAGGCAAATACAATGATTTGGCAGAGTTACATGTGCAAAAGACTGGCGAGAAATTAAGAGTAAATGCCGAACTGCAGACGGCTTTGAATGCCCAGTCTGAGGAGTTAGTTCTTTTTGAGACAAGTGCTCAGCTAAAGCATGTCTTGAGGATTTCTTCAGAGAGATAAGGGAAATAAGGATATTTATCACTTATCTATCTGTCATCTGCTGGGGAGCAGCTACGTGCCAGGTTTCTTTATACACAGTCTCTCACTAAATCTTTTTATCAGACTACGAGATAGGGATCCGGATCCTTATGTACCAAAGGTGCCCGCATCCCTTATCTTTCGTGGCTCCACGCACATGCCTGTTGCTTTCTCAGGGCTGTGTTAAGGACTGATCTTTCAGGCAGACCCTTACGTACCTCAGAGACAGTGAGTAGCCGGATTGAAGATCCCACAGCTAGTAAAACTGGAACCGAGGCCGCCGCCGGGAGCTGTCCCTCTGGCTGGGCACCGGCGCTGCCCGGGAGACTGCGGTACACCCCGCCCAGCCGCATGGGATTGGCCCCGGGAGCCCTGCCAGCTGGAGGGGGCGGAGCCATTAGCTGGGTCCCGGGACTCGCCGAGGCCCTGAGCTGCGAGCGCTTCTGCCCCGGGCTAGTAGGCTGCAGGCCGCACCCAGGCTGAGCGGCCCCCGCTTGCCTCCTGCGCCCCCGCGGCTCCCTCGGCTCCCGCTCCTTTCCAGCATGCTGCGGCGGGGTGGCCAGGCACTCCGGCGCTTCTCCACCGGCCGGGTGAGTCCGGCCCGGGCGAGCGTCCCTGCTCTCGTCCCGGGCTGATTTCCAAACCCAGGGGGCGGGCCGAGCAGCGGGGTTGAGAATGGATGGCGATGTTTATTTTAGACTTTGCTGAAAGCCCAAACAACGTTTTTTAAACTGGGACACTGCAGAGGAGTATCTGGGAAGGGTTCTGGATGGGGCTTGTCAAGCGAGCCATTGTCTTCCACGGAGAAGAGGGCTGAGGATGCAGCTTTTGAACATCAAACGTATGGGTGGGATTGAAAGAGTGGAGATAGTCACTTTGCAGGGGGGACAGAGTTGGCTTCCTTTCCTTTTTCATTTCAATCTTGAGATCCTTGATTATGAGATGGAGCCGAGATACAGGACTGAGACCGTCTCCTGGAGGAGAGTCGTATCAAGTCAGCGGGGTCCGGCCTGAGATATGTGAGCGCTCTGACTGGCTTGCAGGGCCCATTCAGATAATAGCACTCCGAGTTGGTGGCTGCAAACTCATTATTCCTGAGCTGCAAGCAGCAAGATTTCTAGGATTACCAGGCGCTGCAGAAGCAGCCACCCTTGAACATTTGTAAACTATGGCGCGAGAACCGAGCCCTGGCCCAGCCCAGGGCCTTGGAATTGCATCAGCTTCTCCAGAAATGGAAGGAGAGAGGACACGTTGCATGTGGGCTGCCTTCAGCATTCGGGGTCTGGGGAGATATGCCTCCCTGCATCTAGGCAGACTCCAGGCTGTTTAGGAAAGGGAAAAGAAATCCATCCCATGTACATGATCATTTTTTCAGGAAGTGCATGTTTGCCCTGTTATAAAAGATTGTTTTTTTGATTTGTCTTCTCTGCTAGAGTCACATGTGCATGTGTACACATCCAGATATAAAAACTTGGAGGCAGAGAGACGTCTTGGGTAGTGTCAGAAACTGGCCCAAAGTAGCATTAGTGGAAAAGCTTTTGTCCCCCAGACAGCCCCAAGTAATGAGAATTCACTTTATCCCATGCAGTCAGTTCTAGTTATTTTGGGAGTATTCACCTTTTTTTCAAATAAGGAAAAAGAGACTTGCTATGGTAGAGATTTTGCTTGCTATCCTGTGCAGTGCTCTGGACTCCTGCTTAGCTTTCTCCTGCCACGTGGCACATGGGAATCTGGGTTGAATGGCACAGAGAGCAAGGGTTTGTGCCTGCCTGTTTTATTGGCCTCCTCTGTCGACACCTTTCATTTAATTGCCTTTTTTTTGGAGAGCAGAAGGGATTCCTGAAGGGTGAAAAGATATCAATCATGGGGTTTACATAAGATTTTAATAATAAAATCTGAACAGCCCAGGTGTCAAATGGCATAAGCAAAAACACCCATGGGGAAGCACCGGGCATGGACAGGGGTCAAGGACCTGAGAGACTACCCCGGGAATACATGTAGAAGGGCAGTGACATATGGCTGGGAAGAAAGGTTTTTCAATGGCCAAAGGAAGATATGGAGTAATAAGAATTGGTGATATTTTACTCCATAGAAAATGGAGAGTCATCCTTTGGCTTGTGTTCTGTAGTACTGTTCAAAATCAGACATGGCTGATGAGAGCATAAATTGGTACAGCTTCTTTGGAAAACTGACAGTTTTTTATAAGATTAAACATAAACCCATCATATAACTCAACAATTGCCCTCATAAGTATTTATCCAAGAGAAATGAAAACTTATGTTCACACAAATACCTATTTATGGGTGTTTATGGATGTTTTATTCATAATCACCAATGTAAATGTCTTTCATCTGGTGACAGGATAAGCAAACTGTGGTATATCCATCCGTACATTGGACTCCTACTAAAAAAAAAAAAAAAAATGAACTACTGATACATACAACAACATGGATGAAACTCAAATATGTATGCTAAGTGTAAGAAGACAGATTCAAAGGGCTACATATTAGTCCATTCATCTGACATTTTCAAAAGAGTAGAACTATAGTGACAGAAAAAGAGATCAGTGGCTATCAGGGATAGGAGAGGGGAGAGGGATTGACTGCAAGGGGGCAGAAGGGAGTTTTGGGGGGTGATGGAACTAACTGTTCTTTATCTTGATTGTAGCAGTGGTTACATCACTGTGTGTTTGTCCAAACTCACAGAATTATACACTGAAAGTGGTGTGTTTTATTGTATGTAAATTACACCTTCCTCTTAAAAAAATTTTTTTAAATCACACAGTGCTTTTGAGTTTGGTATTAAAGCAGAATGAAGAATGAAAAAAAAATCTCTCAGAATGTAGCAACATCCAAGGGGAAAATTCGTTTATAATACTTCCTGATAGAATTAACGTTTCCATTTTTTCTTGAAGAAATGGATGTAGAAAGAAGTATTTAATTGACAAACCTCCTGATTTTTAAAGAGAAGTCAGAAATTCAGTCTGCTAATGTGAAGCCTCCTAAAAATCTTTCCACAGTTTTTTTGCCAACACTCTTACAGGGTCACTGATTAGCAGTCCCTACCATGCACTGTGCCCAGAGCATGGCTGATGTTCCAACATGCTTGTTGAACAGATCTTGCATGCTGTCAGGCACTGTTAGGAGCACCACGTGACAAATGCTCCACTAAGTGTTAGACATCTCGCTGTCTCAGAAAAATTTACTTTGTTTTATTCTTTAGTGGAAAGGTTCTTTCTCCTTTCCACTTCTCATTGGAAAAGCTACCATTTCTCACAGTTCCTAATATGAACAGCTTTGACCTTGTTTGACATCATGCTTAGATGGTTCAATTTACGTAGCACCTGCTTCAAAAAAGGGCTATGGATCAGGGGAGACACTTAGCACTGTGCCTTTAAGTTTTCACTAGAAGACTGTGTGTATTTTTTTTTAATCCTTAGAGATAATCAGAGTTCATATTAACTTGCTTTCCAAAGAATTTTACCAGGATGTGAATAGCTGGAAATGCAATATTTGATAGTTTAAAAAGCAAAAGCTTGATTCCCTGCAACAGACTCTTCTAATGCAGAATGTTCTCTCTAGAAAACTCCAAGATAATAGCACGTATCCCCTGATTTAGAAGTGCTATGGGTCATTTTATGTAACCCCCCCCTTCTTTCTCACCAATATAACAGGCAATGATAGTGCCTTAAAGGATGTTCTCTGGTTGTCAGCCTTGCTCCCCCGAATGAATGGTGCTGTCTAGCATGTCAGGACCACCAAGGTAGTCCCTTAGAAAGTCTGATGGAAGTGTTTCCCATAGTTGACCTGTCAAATGATTGCCATGTTGTTTTTTTTTTAAAGGGGAAGAGGGATCTTCAACATAGGAAAACCACAAAGCACATCCTCTGAAGTGCGATCTGAGTTTGAATCCTGCCTCTGCCTCTTTTTAGCCCTGTCTGTGGACAGGTTACTTAACTTCCCTTTGTCTTCTCATTTGTAAAATGAGTCACTGTGAGGCTTAAAGACATAATAAGGATTTGATACTTTTTTTTTGAATTAGTGAAAAAGGCTCAATCCAATGGTACACTCCCAGTAGGAAGGCTCCATTATCATCATTTTTATTTACCTAGATATTACTTGTGGTAAAATAATGACAGTGAACATTTATTGAGCATTTACTATTGCCATGCACTGCACTAAT